AATAAAATTTTAAAAAGAAATTTTATTTAAATAATTATTTTTAATTTATTAAAATTAAATAAAATTTAATTTTAAATTTTAAAATTTTAAAATAAAATTAAAAATTAAATAAAATTTTAAAAAGAAAATTTTAAAAGGAGGGTTGGCTGTGGATGCTCAGCGGTAAAGAGCATGCTTAGCATGCATGCAACTCTGGGATCAATCCTTGGTCACACATAAATTTGTCATAGTGTCATAGTGTCACATGTCTGGAATCCCAGCACTCAGGTGGTGGAGGCAGAAGGATTAAGAATTCAAGGTCATGTCCCCTCAAGATGCTGAGGAGCTTTGGCCAGGAGCACCTGCCTGTGTCCTGCCCAAAGACCTGTGTTCCAGCTGTGCCCTGGACATCCAGGGAGGACAATGGCAATGCCCTTGCCTGGCTAGGGCACTCCTGTGCTTCTTAAGCACAAGCTGACAGGCACCATGCGCATCACCCAGTTCATAAAGTGTCGGTGTGGGTGTCAGGTTGGTACCCAGGATATGGATGGCTTCCAGGCCGACACAGAAGGAGATGAGGAGAAGAGGACAGAGACTATGATCATACATGTGCTAGATGTTGGGGTCATCTGTGTCCACATTTTGAAAATTACAGGTGCCATTTTGATAGACCCAAGAACTCTGTGAGACAACCATCCAGGCGGCAGAAAGTGAAGTGTAGGTACCCAGAGCTCAGTGCTAAGAGGGGGCAGAACCTGGGCAACAGTGATCAGCACCTCCTTCTCACTGTGGAAGATTCCTCCTTTGGCAGGTGGGGGACTAGCAAGAGTGGGGGGAAAGGAAACTTCAGTCAGAATGAATTGAAAATAAAAAAATAAATGTGTGTGTGTGTGTGTGTGTGTGTGTGTGTGTGTGTGTGTGTGTATGAGTTTACATGTACCACATGTGTGCAGAGACACCTGAAGGCCGGAAGAGAGCAGCAGATCTCTGAAACTGGAATTACAGGCGGCTGTGAGCTATCATGTTAGCGCTAGGAATTAAACTCAGGTCCTCTGCAAGAGCAGTAAATGCTCTTAGCCACCAAGCTATCTTTTCAACTTCCTATTTTTAACTCTTAAGGTAGCTCCTCTTCATGTTTTAAACTGAAGCCTCTTGTGCTGGCTTGTTTTCTGTCAACTTGACACAAGCTAGAGTCGTTAGAGAGGAGGGAGCCTCAACTAGAAAATGCCTCCATAGGATCAGAATGTAGGCAAGGCTGTAGGGCATTCTCTTAATTACTGATTAATGTGGTAGGGCCTAGCCCATTGTAGGTGGTGTCAAACCTGAGCTAGTGGTCCTGAGTTCTATAGGAAAGCAGACAGAGCATGCTGGTAAGCAGCATCCCTCCATGGCCTCTGCATCAGCTCCTCCCTCCAGGATCCTACCCTGCCATCACTGCTCTTGATGATGAACTGTTATACGAGCTGTGAGTGAAATGACCCCCTTCCTCCTTGTGTTGCTTTTGGTCTGGTGTTTCACGACAGCAACATAACCTACCTGGGACACCTCTCCTTTCCTCTAAGGCCCTGACATGTTCAGATCTCCATAGATTGCATTGTTTCTATCAATTTTCTGCTTCTCACCTGAAGGCCCTCTCTCCCATAATGCATCTTCTCAGGAGAAGTGTGTCAGCTTCCTTTCTCGACTAACACCTGCTGTTTTACCATTACCTAATTTATTATGTTCAACAGAAAGGATTGAGGAAGGGGGAGGGAATGAGGAGGGAAGGACGGACAGATTTGTCTCTCTGTGATATAAATAAAGGCAACTCAGTTATTCTTTACGTTGGTTCTTATTCCAATCTGGAAGAGTTGCCGCTATACAGTGTCCATAAGAAGTGTGTAAGAGGCTGGGGGACCTCGTGTACCCTGGAAAAGAAACTTTTTGTGTTTGCCCTTTGGGGAAAAAACAGAATTTGGTATACATGAATTTTATTAAGTTAACAGAATTATTTTTCAAGACGCTTATTTTTGTGGAGATGTGAATTGAACCTACGGCCTTGTACATGCTAGGCAAAACACTGTACTACTGAAAAACACCCCCATTTCCTTTTATCCCCCCTTTCTCTTTCTCTGGAGTGTGTAAATGAGTGCAGGTGTGTGTGGCACAGCTTGCATGTAGATGCTGGAGGACAATTTTGGGGAGTTGATTAGCTGGCCTGTGAGCTTTGGAGAAATTCTGTTTCTTTCTTCCATCCCCCAGTAAGAGTGCTGAAATTACAGATGCACACTATTGCACCTGGTGTGTGTGTGTGTGTGTGTGTGTGTGTGTGTGTGTGTGTGTGTGTG